CCGCCCGCCAGGTGCTGCCTCGGGCGCCCTTCCCCAGCTGCTGCCGCCCCGGCTCCAGCTCCGCCGGGAGCCTGGATGGGCGCTCCTCCAGCTCACACTGGCGCTCTTGGGCTCTCCTCAACTTTTAGTCCTACTCGGATGGTTCCTCTGTGCCCCTTTCTTACCTCTATCCTGCCTTTACCCTCCAGTTTTCTCCCTGCCTACTGTGACTCTCTGTTTCTACCATTCCTTTGCATCAAACCCTTCTCTCTCATTCACACGCTGCCCCCTCCCAGCCTCCCTGGATCCCCTGCGCTCCCCTCTGACCTAAGACAAACTTTTTTCCCTAGTGCGGTTTTCCACGTTTCTCTCCCTTTCCAACCCAGACCCCAGCACCCACTCTTCCAAATGCCCTACTTGAGAGGACAGGAAAAGCAGTGCCAGGAAATAGATGCTGTCCTAATATTTCCTTGGAGTTGAGTAATTATTGGTTCTCCTAATTTTCCTTCCAAACCAAGGAATCTCGTGATTTCCCACAGTATACCCCCTCACAGTGTAAATTAATACGTTGAAAATAACCCTGAATTGGAGGCCAGGGGAACAGGAGATGATCTTGTAGGGTCCTCACTGGCTTCCAAAGGTAGTTGACCTTGGACAAGGTGCACCTCCATGGGCCTGACTCCTGCTGCAGCCCGGAGCTCGGTGACCTGCAGGGCGCTCAGAGCCAGCCTGTATCTCCGGTCTATTACAGTTGTTGGTTGTTAGTAAAGTAAGGTGCCATTTCCTCCACCCGCCCTGAAACATACTTTTCATTGTGCTCAAGTCAGGTAGAGAAATGCTGAGCTGACCTAAAGTTTGCAGGTTGGAAAATGACTTGGCCTGTGAGAAATGACAATTGCTTTCTCATGCCCCTTAACCCCTGACCCTAAACTGGATCTGGAGAAATGACCCTTGTCTCCATGCCCCTCAGTGCTCACCCCTACACACACTCTTGTCAGAGCTTAGGTCATAGATGACAGAGAATAGGCTTGGAGACCAGGTGCACCTATTTAGGAGAGCAGCCGACAAGCACCCGGACTATATACATTTCTTGGTACCGATTCCATGGCATCCTCCTCCCCCAGGCCAGGGCCTGAGACTTCACGTAGCCTGCAGCTTTTAAAGCACTTTCTCATCTGTGGTTTCAGCTGGTGGAGCAGAGTAGCTGACACCCAGATCTGCCCTCCAAAAAGAAAACTGTATCCACCCTGATGAATGGGAAGTCGCTGTTTAAATAGGTGTGCTATTTTTAATAGGTGTTCTGCTTTCAAAGTGCTCTTGGCAAGTATCTTCTAATGGTTGGATTTCAGTTATATGACTTCCTCCCTTCTTAACCAGAGCAGTACTCTTACTCCCCCTCTCCCCACCCTCCCCATCAAACACACCACTGGTGAAGGTTTGGCTTGGCCCAAGCCTGAATATTCTCAGGTGGTGTGGCAGACCTGGGCACAAACAGTGAAAGCTGATCAGAATGAGAGCTTCCTTCATTGCCCCTTCCTCTGTGCCTGGCACTGCTCTTAGCGCTTATTTAGATATATTGTGTGTTTTTATTCTCCCATTGACCCCTGAGGTAGCTTATCCCCCACCCCCACCCCACCCCCATTTACAGATGGGGAAACTGAGTCTGTGGAAGTGAAGCAGTGTGCTCAAGATCATACAGCTCAGACAAAGCAAAGGATTTGTCTGTGGGCATTTCAGCTTCCAAAGCCCTTGCTCTTTCCCAGGGCCCCGTGTAGGTGTCTGCCTGCCATCCCCATCTCCTCCTGCCCCCTCTGTGTTAACCTTGGTTCACTCTGCTGCCACCAGCCTCACTGCCTTCCTTCCCCTCCCTCCTGCAGCAAAGGGACCTCAACTCCTTTCTGTGGACTATTCGGCGTGACCCCCCGGCCTACTTGTTTGGCACCATCCACGTCCCCTACACCCGCGTCTGGGACTTCATCCCGGACAACTCCAAGGCAGCCTTCCAGGCCAGTGCCCGTGTCTACTTCGAGCTGGACCTGACGGACCCCTACACCATCACAGCGCTGGCCAGCTGCCAGCTGCTGCCCCACGGGGAGAACCTGCAGGACGTGCTGCCCCGCGAGCTCTACTGGCGCCTGAAGCGCCACCTGGACTACGTGAAGCTGATGATGCCCTCGTGGATGACGCCGGCGCAGAGGGGCAAGGGGCTCTACGCTGACTACCTGTTCAATGCCATCGCGGGCAACTGGGAGCGCAAGAGGCCCGTGTGGGTGATGCTGATGGTGAACTCGCTCACGGAGACCGACGTGCGTTCCCGGGGCGTGCCAGTGCTCGACCTCTACCTGGCCCAGCAGGCCGAGAAGATGAAGAAGAGCACAGGGGCCGTGGAGCGGGTGGAGGAGCAGTGCCATCCACTCAATGGGCTCAACTTCTCCCAGGTAAGCACGCGGCCCCTGGCCCCTGAGCTGGGCAGCCCCTGTGCCCCTTGGTCTTCTTCTCTGATTGTCTTCCTTCTCTGGCAGCCAGGGCCTGCCATTCCCCCAAAGAGAGAGGGTCTTTTGGACTGTAGAGCGGCTCTCCAGCTGCTTTTGGGGTGGTCTGAGGGAAAACTGGTATGTGCTGGATTTGGGGGTAAGAGTTCGGGTGTTGGCTTCCCTCTCGGTGGTGTTACCTGTCGGGGACATACACTCCCCACCTGCCGTGCTTGCCTGAGCAGAAAGAATTTCCCTGGGAGCATCAGAGTGATGAAAAACAAAAAGAGGGAGCGGAAAGTTTGCCTTCGAGGCCCGGATCTCAGGATCAAGAGGCTGTCCTGAGGCTGCTGTGTGGGCACATCCAGGCAGCAGCGAGTAAACAGGGGACTTGAGAGGGAGTCCTGGTGCCTGGGCCTGGGGGCAGGGCAGGTGTGGTGAGTGGGCCTGGGGTCTATGGCTTGCTGTTGATGTGAAGCACTGTCGTTTCCCGGACCTTTGCAAAGCTCCAGGCGACCCTCGGACTGCCTCCCTAGGCTGGGAGAAAGCCAGCCAGGATAGTTTTGGGGTTAATAATTTCAGAGAAATGTGTTCACTTAAAGGTTGACAGTTCTGATTTCTGAACCTAGGAGTGGAGGCAGGGAGAAGGGGCGAGCCTAGGAGGTTTAAAGTCTCGGGCTGCCAGAGACCTGATCCAGCAAAATGTCATTAAAAGCCCTGTTTCCATGGGCAGAGGTCACTCGCCGCTCACTGGCCCCAAACTCAACTCGGAGGCCCTGGGAACAATGAGTTCACATCTGTGCCTTGAGAACAGGCTGTCTCTCGGGTGGGGGCTCGCATCAGGGCTGGTGGCTTCTGCACAGAGGCCCCCAAATGGGGCTTGGGCCGATGCCCCAGTGAGGAGTGAGGCGTGGGCCCGGGAGATGTGCTCCTCTGTGACGGACACGGCCCCATAAATTGGCCAGGCCAGCAACTACCACTGGGACCAGAGCTGCTTGCTGCTCCTGAGATGTTGCAAGCTCTTCACCAGGGAAACAGCAGCAGAAACTGATCCCCCTTCAGAGATCTCTGGCCTTTGTTTTTCCAGGGGAAATGCAATATTGTCCCCAGGGAGGTAAGAAGCCAGATTGATTTGCCGGCCAAATGAAAGGCGGGTTTGTCGGTCCTCCTGCTGGCTCTCCCATAATTGTGGAGTCCTTACCCAGAGGGCCCTGGTGGCAGGAATATTGGGGCAGTTAGTCACGCCCCGCAGGGTTCTGACTACGCCTGACTCCTTCTCCACGGGGGAAAATCCTGTGCATTCTCTGGCCCCGCGCTGATTCCTCTGAACATACCGGCTTTCTCCCTCTGAAGTGACTTTCCCCTGCCAGCCTCGGGAGCTGATATCATCTGTGTCGGGCTCCCCCAGCGCTCACCGCCCATCTCATTTTGGAGGAGGCAGGCTTGTGGGAGGCCCCTCTGTTCGGAGGCCTCATGTCTGGCCTCGATATCTTTTTTAGGCTGGGGAGGTGGGGGATCCACCATCATCTCAACACCCTCTTTGTACCAACCACAGAGGAATCCACGAGAGCTGAAGGGAGCACACCAACCCCCTGGTTAAACAGCCCCTGGCTTTAATCTGTCTCCCTTAAAACAACAACACTATCTCTCTTCGGGGTCTGGAAACACTGCTGTTCAACCGAATGACGGCGTTGGTAGGTTGCAAACATTTGCTGGAAAGCGTGTGAGGTTATGTTTTAGGAAAAGTTCCTGAGAGCCATTCATCGGCCAGTGAGGAGCCCGCTGACAGTCTCCAAAGCCCATGTTTGAAGATCAAACGGACTCAAATCTCTGGTTTCACAAACGTGCCCACCCCGTCTCCAGCCTGGGCCCGCTCTTAGCGCTGTTCTTGGGTCCAGCCCGTCCAGAGGGCTGCAGGAAGCCAGTCCCAAACAAAAGGAAACAGGTCTCCTCTTGGTTCCCTAATCTCCACACCCTTCACCACCTGCCAGAGTGTCCGGCCCCGCCAATTTGTCCTGTTATCATTTTGGAGTGAGGTGATGAAATCTCTCCTCCATCCCCATGAGCGGCTGTGGGCTAACTGGGAAGGGAGGGATTGCAGAGCTTGGGTGGATGGGGTTGTTAGGGATCCCCCACCCCAACGTCAGAAATGCAACAGCCTTCTCAGTAAAATTGTATGCGCGTGTGCACAGTTTGATATGAACATCTGTGATGCATTATTGTACCAAAATATCTGTTAAGTGCATCAGATTTTTATTTTTTCTTTCCTTTCAGCATTACTGTTATTGCAAAATATTTTTTTGGTAGGGGGAGCAATGAGAGAGGAAGGCGGGAAATAGAAGCCTTAAAAGAGAGTACCTTTTTATTAAGACCTGGGATTTTAGTTTTAATTTGAGTATTTTTCAAATTTTTATATTTTCTTCTGGGTCGAAATACCACATTTTTTTCTGGCTAAGTCGAGAAAGGAAGCTTACGTTTTGGAACTCCCTGGGTTGGGGAACCACTGAAAAAGTTCCTTCCACCTTTGCACAGCTTGGAAAATTGGGCCCATTGGTCCTAGTCTGTGATTTTAATATAAACGGAGTGTGCGAGCCCCAACATCACCTTGAGTTTGCTGTGTGACCTTGGGCAAGTCAGTTCCCCTCTCTGGGCCTTGTTTTTCCCTTCTGTGAAATGAGACACCAGGATTAGGTCATCATCCAAGTCCCTTCTAGCCCTGACATTCCATGGGATGGTTGTAATCAATTCCACGTGCCTGGCACTCTGCAGGAAGCGCCGTATGCTTTTCCATTTCGTTGGATTCTCACAGCCCTGGGGTTTTCTAAGGTGGGCAGTCAGAAAGGTTGGGTGACTTGCCCAAGGTCACATGGCTAATCAGGAACAGAACCAGTCTGCCTGGCTCTGAATGAAGGATGCACTCTTCCTGCCACCCATGCAACTAGGTATTTTGTATCCTCTTGTAATCCTCCCTTCAGTCCTTTCTTCCGTTTCTTTCTCCCTTTTAGGACTTGAGGGCTTAAAAGTTTACTGCTTAGAAAATGTATACCTATGGAGAAATGATTTCTTTTGGCCACGGGGCCAAGGCAGGGATGGTGAAGGCAGCTCCTGTAGAGATTTCCCTGATGTGTTACAGACCGCTCGGCCTCGTGGGCTGAAAGGAGATTTGCCTCTAGATTTCAGTCCCAGCTCTGGCTTGAAAGCCAGTGATTTGGGTATAACTGGTTTTCCTGTCTGTCCAATGGGGCAGTTAGTGACCAGTCTTTCTCAATAGAGCTGGTTTGGGGAAGACGTGAGGAGACTCTACATGTGGGAGGTTACTGAGAGGGTAAAATGACTACCTAGATAGAGAGAAAGAGTCTGGGCCGGCTCCGGGACTGAGAAAGAAAGAGGAGGGAAGCCTCGTCTCTGCCCTGTTAGCACCTTCTCCTAGCAGCCGCGTCCACTGCCCATCCTTTCTTGAACAGAGTAAAGCTGGAGTAATCAGGAGTGGTGGCGGCCCCTGCCCTCAGGGGCCTGTGAGTACCTGAGCCTTTAGTCCGGATCTTGTGACAGTCTTGGGACCTGCAGATTTCAATCAGCTCCGTCAGCTGCCTCCAGGGACTGGTACTGGCTGCCACTCACTTGCTGGGCTGACTAGGAGACCTCCTTCTCCCTCTAGGGGGCCTCAGCCCCCCCCCCCCCCCCCCCCACCAGTTGGTGAGGAGCTGCACGAGCGGCCCTCGAAGTCATGTGGTTTTCTGAGGCATAATGAGAAAACGAGGACCCTGCCATTCTGTACTTTGTTTGTTTTAACAAACATGCGATGTCACCCATCCAGGGTGTGCACAGCCTAAACACTTGGGTCTGGCTGCTAAGGTTATCCAAGATGTATGTAAAATCCCACAGCCCCTTCACTAGGGAGTTAGAAACCATAAAGTCACCATTTATTGAGCTCTGTCTCTGTACAGGGCGCTACCTTAGACCTTGTAAGTACATCATCTCTAAACCTCACAGAAATGTGACAAGACGTATCATCATCTCTCTTTCTCAGACAATAAATTGAGGCTTAAAAAGGTTAAGTCATTTGGCTATGATTACCCAACCAGGCCAGGCGGGCTCAGGGACCAAACTTGGGCGTGTCTGATGCCAGAGTCCATGCTTCTTAGGCATGTGAGAGCTGACGTGATTTTTGTTTTTAATAGTTAGAAGGCATTGTCTGGGTGTGTGTTTGAGTGGTGAGAGATGATCATATCTTGCTAAAAAATATTTTAAAAATAGAGATAATTAAAAAGTGCTCACACTGACTTTCTACTGGCTTACAAATCGGATCTACAGGTGATTCTAAAATCAGAGTTCTCAAAGACATCCCCAGCTTTCCAAGGGACCACTGTGAGGACGGCACCCCTAAGCAGGCACAGTTAAATAAGGGAGAGTCTCCTTGGTTTCTAGTCAGAGCTCCTCTATCTGCACCCTGCAGGGCCAACACTATTATTAGGTGCTCTATTAGTATTCAGAGAATGAATGAATGGTCGGAAACCATGATATGACTATCTCTGCTTCCCCTCCTTCCACCATGCAGCACTGTTGAATGGATGGATGGATGAATGAATGAATGAAGAGACTGCATACGTGAGGAGCCCCCTCCTTGAACTTTATTTTAATAGCTCCATGCCTTCCTATAAGGACACAAAATATGAAAATCACCAAGTGGGTTGTTCAGATACAAAGCAGGCTCCAGCCCTGACCCCATTCCTACCTTCCCTGTGAGTCTGGGCTAGTCCTTTTCCCTTTCTGGGCCTAGATTGTCTTCTCTGTCCCACGAGAGTGTGGGCTGTATGATTTCCAGGGCTGGCCCAGCTCTGATTTCTGCGGTGCTCGTCTTTGGCCCCATATCTTGGAGACCCTGAGCCACCCTGAGATGTTGAGCCTGTGTTCTCCACAGCTGGGAGGGACGGGCAGTCTCTGGTGGGCTGCTGCTGATACCTGCT